AAAAAAAAAAAAAAAAAAAAAATTGTCCTGGGCCATATAGTAAATACACAAACACTAATGAAAACCGATTAGCAAAAAAAAGGACTGTACATACTTTTTCTGTTATCAGACACCCCTGATTTAGATGAAAGCTGCTGTCCTTAGGCCCCGGCTAGAAATGTTTTGTCTCCCACTCTTCCATGATAACCATTCGGAGGTTTTGCTCCCTGAGGATCCAGTCTGGTGCTTTTCAGTGATAAATATTTGTTTTGTATTTGTTTTTGTTTGGGGAGGGGTGTGAGACAGTTTTATTTTGTCGCTCTTGGTAGAATGCTGAGTCATCATAGCTCACAGCAACCTCAAACTCTTTGTCTCGAGTGATTCTCTTGCCTCAGCCTCCCAAGTAGCTGGGACTATAGACACCCGCTACAATGCCTGGCTATTTTTAGAGAGGAGGTCTCTCTCTGGCTCAGGGTGGTCTCAAACTCATGAGCTCAGGCAGTCCACCTGTCTTGCCCTCCCAAATGCTAGGATTACAGGTGTGAGCCACCTCGCCCGGCCTCAGTGATAAATATTTGTTGTCTCATGTTTGCTTGGCTATACTCTGCAGTCTCATATTGAAGATTTAGTTAGCCCTAAGCTTACGATTAATGATTTTTTACTATTACTAGTAATGATTAAATAGGAAATACAAGTGAATTCCAAATGCCATATGACCAACTATAATTTTATTTAAGCCTTTTAGATAGAGATATTTATCTGCCCATTTCCCTAGTATTTTGCTTACAATCTTACGAAAGTAAATGTAGTAGTAAGTATGCTTTGTTATTTCCTTAATAGAAATTATTTCCCAGAGTGGATGGGGCTGCTCTCTACTAGTATAACCAGGTTATAGATGGGGAACATGAGAGAGATCAAGTGCTTGGCTTTAGTAATTAACCTAGGGGGAAGGAGGGAACCCAAAGCTGACTTCACATGTGTTTATTAATACCCTCTACCCTGTTTAGAGAGTTTATTAAAGCAACATCATCCCTGATGGTCTAAGGGTTAGTGTTCTCACTGCTGTGGCCTGGCTTTGATTCCCATCATGGAAACAAGCAAAAAAACAAACAAAAAATTCAACATTAAAAATACTGTCAGCGGCTCAGCACCTGTGGCTTGAGTGACTAAGGCGCCAGCCATATAGACCTAAGATGGTGGGTTTGAATCCAGCCTGGGCCCGCCAAATAACAATGATGGCTGCAACCAAAAAATAG